GGAACAACAAAAAGGGATGGTGGGTGGGTTGCCCTTTCTATCACAAACTTTTATAATTACCTTCGGATTCGAAGTATATGAAAAAACGGACCCGAGTTTCAAAACTATTGTTGGAGTTGAAAAAGACAGCTCGCTCCTAGAACGCTAAAAAGGTGGGGAAACAAGAGTTGTTACGGTAGAAAAGAAAAATGGCTAAAAGAAACTAACGATTCTCTCTTCTTAAACAACCTATATTCTCCAGTTAGAACGTTGACAAAAAGTCAATGCGTTTGAATGATAATCTATCAGACTCAACTCACTCACGTCTGAATGACAACAAAGACTAATTCAATCAAATAATCATTCAAAGTATTTGAAAAAACGGACCGGGACCGAAACTAATATACGAGTTTGGAGTTGAAAAAGGCAGCTGTCCTAGAACGGTAAAAAAATAGGGAACAAGAGTTGTCACGATAGAAAAAAGAAATGACTAAAAGAAACCAACGATTCTCTCTTCTTAAACAACCTATATCGTCCGGTTAGAACGTTGACAAAAGTCAACGTGCCCAAATGACAATCTTTCGGACTCAATTCACTCACAGAGTTATCCTATTCAGATATACAAACTCAAATTTCTGTAAGTATTTCACTTTTGTGCCTCCCAAGGAGCTTGAAGAGGCAAGGAAAATGAAAGAGAAAGCTATGAAAGCCTGAGTTATCAGCTGAAGACATGATCAATGGAACTGACCCAACCCAACAACAACCAGACAGGTTTAAAAACTAATATCAGAAATGAACAAGAACACAGATTACCATGTTTCTGTTCCATCGAAATCAAAGCCACACAATTTGTTTATCTTATCTTTCACGCTTGATTTGTGGATTGTTTTAAGAAGAAAAAAGGACCCACTGATGCATGTTTCCAGCTTAAATTTCCTTTATCACCAACTAAGGCTGAACCTATCGACAAACTGTACAGTAATAAAATAATTCCAACCCCACCAATAATTCAGAAACATGGCTGAAACAAGTCATGATTTATAATGCATAATTAAATCCTCATCATTTTGTATAATTTCATTCCTCTCAGACAATCACCAGACATAAATTCAAACCAAGAATACAAGTAACATCAGCTACCCACTTGTGTAATGACTGCTGCCTGCTTGGACTCCAAATACAGAATCAAAATTGTGACAAAACATGCAAAAAATTGTATTCTTTTCCACTGGGGAGTGCCACAAATAATGCACAAATCTTAATGCGAGATCTACATCGGTTGGAGAGGAGAACGAAACATTCCTTATAAGGTGTGAAAACTGCGTTTTAAAACTGTGAGACTGTGAGGCTGACGACTATACGTAATAGGCAAAGCGGACAATATAGGCAAAGCGGACAATATAGGCTAGCAGTGGGCTTGGGTTGTTACAAATGGTATCAAAGCTAGACACCGGACAGTGTGCTAATAAGGACGCTGGGCCCCAAGGGAGGTTGATTGTGAGATTTCACATTGGTCGAAGAGGAGAACAAGAGAATCCTTATAAGAGTGTAGAAACCTCTCCCTAATAGACGCGTTTTAAAATTTTGAGAAAAGCTTGGAAGAGCGTTGGGCTTAGACTATTACAAATGGTATTAGAGCTAGACACCAAACAATGGGTCAACGAGGACTCTGGCTCTTAAGGGAATGGATTGTGAGATCTCACATTGATTGGAGAGGTGTACGAATGAATTCTTATAAACGTGTGGAAACCTCTCCCTAGCAGCAGCATTTTAAAAATTTGAGGGGATGCTCCGAGAAAAAGCTCAAAGAGAACAATATTGCTAACGGTGGGCTTGGGTTGTTACATCTAATACCGAGTATTGGGGCAAGTTCACCAAGCCCCCCTAACGAGCAACTACCAAGAGAAATAGGTGAAATAAAACAGAGACGAAATCAAAGCCAATTTTTACCTAGCTTAATCAGAAGTGCATCAAATAAGGTCAGATCCTCAACCACGATAGTGTAGAACTTTTGAATGTCATACAGCATCATTTCATCCTCTGTAGTGACGAAATTGATGCGCCAAGATAATCACCTAATGCACGTATAAACCTAGTTTCATGGTCTATAAACACATTTTGAAAAATGGTTCAAATCGGAATTCAGTTCTCCTTCAATCCATTGTTTTCAGATGACCTATCAAACAAACCCTAAACATCCAGATAACGAATTTGATTCACTTAAGTTTTGTAACTCAACATAAGAACATGGCGCTGCACGACATAAACACAACCAATTCAAATCAAAACAGATATATAAACATCGATCTTAATTCTAAAATGCTATCGATCACGCAGCCAGCTCTACACTCTCCAAACTAAATAGAAATTCAAGTAAATAACGCATAATAGCCGATCGGAGAGAAGCAAATGGGACGATCCATGACAAGAAATGCAAGCATTTTAACATACAAGTAAAGGGGTTATAGAAAACTCAAACAAAAACCAAAAGAATCATACAAAACCTGAAAGCGAGACCAAAACAACCAATCGATCTACGGCGTACATTTTAGGCTGGTACAAATGATTTAATCCAAATCATTCCTACTAAATTCGATAACCAAATATTTAATCTCTCCATATAAATTTGTTAATAAATTTGTTAATAAAGAAGATTAATATTTTAAGATCATAACTGACTCGATCTTAATGATAAGTGAATTATGAACTCGTGCCTATAAAAGTTTATCCTTTGATTTGCATGAAAATAAAGTGTATATTGCACGTGAATAATAAATGAAGTGCCTAGCCAAAATTTTGGGTTAGTTGAGTTGATGACTTGACCAACCCAAATATTAACCGGACCCAAAAATTAGGTTGGACTTGGTTGTGTTGTCCAATTTTTTTTTTAAAAAAAATATATACTTATTCATAATATGTTACGTTAGTAACTAAAATTTCTTAAAATTCAAATATCAAACATTTATAAGTTACGATGCATCACTAAAATAGGTTACAAACTTTAAATATTTTTAATTTTTTAAATAAAGTAGGATTAGGTTGGATTGTAACTCTATTTTCGAGTTGGTCGGGTAAAAAAATGTTAACCTACAAACTGAACTGAATTTTCGGTTTTTAAAAAATTCCACCGGACTCAAATTGAAAAAAAATATAACCACATCTAATATTTATGGCTTGAATTGGGTAATATAGATTGGTCGAGCTATCAGGTCATATGAACGCCTCTAATCTTCAATAAGTGGTTACAGTGACTTAAATTCATTCATTTTAAACCCTTTTAAATATTGATGAACGTTTATAAACTATTGAGTAAATTCATGAAACTTATGTAAACACAACTCTACTCGACCAAACAAGGCAAAGGATTCACTACATCTGTTTAAAAAAATATTAAAACTAGAATTTTCAAAATGTATACATAGAAGTGTTCATACCCCTTGATGAAGAAAAAAAAAATCTTTACGATTTGCACAAGAAAATTGTAATATTAATAAATCGGCATAAAAATCCAAGCTTTGAAAAAGAATAGTTCCTAAAATTCTACTTCCCGTACAAAACACCATGAAAATCAAGCTTCACTTCACCACCACCAAGACACACACCAAATGGAAGAGAAACAGAGCCCACAAAAACACCGGAGAATTGAGAGAACATGAATTCGAAGCGTAGAAGTAGTAATTATAAGCATTGGTATTTCCATGAGGCGCCGCCGTCGTCGGCGGCAGAGGCTCCGGGATCAGCACTGGCGGCGGTGGTGGCAAGCTGAAATAGTATTTGAAAGCGGGAGGCGGTGGGGAATGAGATGAAGCTGCCACCGGCACTGGAGGCGGCGGTGGTGATGGGGATGGTCGAGGTGGGGATGGGGGTGGGTTGAGTGGGAAGGAAGCCATCGGAGGGGAGTGAGGCACCGGTGGAGGAGACTTGAGTGTCACCGTGGGCGGTGGTGGGGGTGCGCATATGACAGGGCAAGTTGAGCATTCGCTGATACAGAGGAGGCTTACCGGAGGCACTACCTCGACGAGACGGTGGTTGTCGGAGGCCATGGCGGCTCCGGCGAGGTGGACGATCAAAAGAATGAAGAAGAGGGTGGTTGTAGTGGAATGTTCCATGGCAGAAATTCAGGTGTGGTTAAGATGAACAAGAAATGGGAGTTGAAATGGATTGCTTATAAATCAAAAACATTCATAAAAACAATGACTTTTTTTACTTTATGGAACAATATGAAAGAATCAAATTTAGGAACAAAAAAGGAAAGATTCAGCATCTTTATTCCAAAGTTCTATGTAATGGCAAAGGAGTTCATCTAAAAGCTGGAAGCTTGAATTGGGTACTGAAATCATAACATAGAGCTTATACCTTTCTCAGAACATAATCAACCTTTAAGCACTTTAATCCTTTTGTTTATGCTCTGTTTGATCCTTTTCTTCCCGCCCTGGGCTGCTCTGTTCCTTCCTGGGAATTCCCTGTTGATTCAATAAGTAATATTCCACGAGGCTTCCCCTAACAAGAAGTAATGAAGTGTGAGATCTCACATCGGGTGAGGAGGGGAAGGAAGCATTCTGTATAAAGGTGTGGAAACCTCTTCCGACTCGTTTTAAAACTTTGAGGGAAAGCTTGGAAGGGAGAGCTCAAAAAGGATAATATCTACTAGCATGGGCTTGGGCCATTACAAATAGTATGAGAGCCAAACACCTGTAGATGTGCCAGTGAGGAGGCTAAGACTTGAAGGGGGTGGACATGAGACGGTGTGCCAGCAAGGTGCTGGATAACCTTGGAGAGGGGGTGGACACGAGACGGTGTGCCAGTAATAGGGGGGTCCCACATCAATTAGAGAAGGAAACAAGTGTCAGCGAGGGCACCGGGTCCCTAAGAGGGTGGATGGTGAGATCCATTGGAGAGGGGAACAAAGCATTTGTTTATAAGGGTGTGAAAACCTCTCCCTAGCAGACACGTTTTAAAACCTGACCTAACACGTTTTAAAACCTGACCTAATCCATCAAACAGCCAACTTTAACAGGATTGAATGAAATTGTAGCAGATGCATAAAAGACCAAACGAGTCATGGATTTAGTATAAACTATATAAGTTTGCGTTACATTCAAGCGGATAATGCCACAATAACATGCAACAAATACAAGTGAATGGACTATGTCGATCTCCATGACTCAACAGACTCGACAATAAAGAAACACTGCTACAAATTTACAATGCTGTTTTTTGTTTAATCCTGGAATGATGTAATCCAAGTTAACTTGAGGAGTCAGCTGCTTTATTCCTGGAGTAACGAGTATCAGCTGTTGATAGGATAAGCTATAATTCTCAACCTGGTCGCAAAGATCGATAAGGATCATACCTCTTCCTAGCATCGATAAGATCTCGAAGAGACGAGTTTCGTCACAGTATTGATCCTTCAGCTTCTTCCACGTCCAAACAAAGAACTCCATAAGCTTCATATTCTGCTACCACAGCCCTTCTGTAATCAGTCATGGAATCAAGTAACTTTCCTCCTATGGGTTAGGCAGGCCTCTAACTTCATTCATCAGTATAACTATTTCCCGAATCCTGGTTTCGGAATAAGAACACTGAGCATCATTGAAAATAACAGGTCTAGAAATTCAAACAAGATTTCGCTAAATTATATGTAAGTTGTGGACCTCATTCGATGACTGCGCCCTCAAACTGGAACTCGATGCGGCAGAGCGTGGAAACTGATTCCGACCATCGCGTTTGTCAGAACTCCTCCCGAGATCTCTTAACCTGTTGAGCTCTGGAACTATAACAGTTCCAAGATCTGGTCTGTCTCTCTTCCTCAGTTCAGCGCACTTCAAAGCCAGTTCTGCAAAATGTATAGCCTCCTCCAATGGACAATCTGAAATTGTAGGATCCAGCATCTCATTGAACCGCTCTTTTTCGATAGCCCTTTGAACATGGTGAGCTAAACCCATTGGAGGTTTGGCAGTAATGATTTGAAGTAACATTATTCCAAAAGAGTAAATATCTGATTTTGTTGTTAACTGTCCTGTTTGTTGGTACTCAGGATCGATGTAACAAAACGTGCCAGCTGCTGAAGTCAGATGATATTGGGTGACTTGATCAGCAACCGAAGGAGGGACTAACCGAGCCAGGCCAACATCACTGATTTTGCTCACGTAATTGCGGTCCAAGAGAATGTTAGCTGGTTTAAGGTCCCTATGCACCAGTGGCTCTGGCTTTGCTTGGTGAAGAAAAAGGAGTGCGGTTGCGATTTCAGCAGCTATCTTGAATCGTCGTCTCCAAGAGATTGGAGGAGTATTCCCTCTCCGGAAGAGTCTGTCTTCTAAGCTCCCATTATGCATGTACTCATACACCAAGCAACCATACTCAGGGCATGCCCCAAGAAGGAGCACCATGTTTGGATGTCTAATACAACAGAGGACCTCCACCTGCAAAACCATTTACAAAGGAGACATTGGATGAATCCCTTAACACATTGATTTAATATGAACAATATGATAGTACCTCTTGTTGGAATTGCTTCCGTCCTTGAGCAGCGTCGGGTCTTAAAACTTTAATTGCAACGGCGGTATGATCAAGTTTGCCTCCATAAACAGGACCATATCCACCTTCTCCAATCTTCAATTTTTCAGAGAACATTTCAGTAGATTCCTCTATCTCTTCTATGGTGTATTTTCTATAACGGACGTCGTTCTGTGCTAGAGCATTCAATGCTCGTTTTTTCTCTTCGGTCTCTTTTCTGGCCTTCATTTCAGCCTGTTTTCTTCTCTGGGCTTCTCTTTCGGCTAGCTTTTGCGCTGCCTCTGCTGCTTCAATGGCAGCTTTGCACTTGGCTTTCTCCATCTCCGCAATAGCAAGAGCAGCTTCTTCAGCTAGTCTGACTTCTTCAAACTTACGTGCCTCGTCTTGCTTCCACTGGCTCAGTTCTCTTGCCTGAATTTCAAGACAGCACTTTTTATGCGTTCTTTTCTTCTTTACTTACAAGAAAGTGAACTCCAAATTTTCCTTAAAGATTGACTTAATTAATGTAACGGCCCAAGCCCACCGCTTGCAGATATTGTCTTCTTTGGACTTTCACTCAAGGTTTTTAAGACGCGTTTGCTAGGGAAAGGTTTCCACACTCTTGTAAAGGGTGTTTCGCTCTCCTCCCCAATCGATATGGGATCTAACAATCCACCATCCTTCGGGTTCCAACGTCCTCCTTTCTCCAAGAGATGTGGGACCCCTACCAAATCCACCCCCCTTCGGGGCCCAGCGTCCTTGCTGGCACACCACCTCATGTCTACCCCCCTTCGAGGAACAGCCTCCTCGCTGGCACATTGCCCGGTGTCTGGCTCTGATACCATTTGTAATGGTTCAAGCCCACAACTAGCAGATATTGTCCTCTTTGGGTTTTCCTTTTTGGGTTTTCCTTTTCGGGCTTTCCCTCATGGTTTTTAAAATGCGTCTGATAGGGAAAGGTTTCGACATCCTTATAAAGGATGTTTCGCTCTCCTCCCCAACCAACGTGGGATCTAACAATTAAAGCTTTCTACTTTACTAGCAATTTATTTGCCTGACCATTATCAATAAAGTAGACTTTTATTATATTTACCTTGTTCTTGGCTGAGATTGCCTCTTTGCAGGCTGAGCTATACATATCCATGGTTTGCTTTAATTCCAGCTTCAATCTTTTCATCTCGGCCTCTAGTTCTCGCTTTAGCAAAGACGTTTACAGAGACGTTAACCAATGCAAAGTAACTACATAACTATTAGAAGCATATAAATTTCAAATGCCAATGACCCAGGTGCACTTACAGTCGATTGTGCAGAAGCAGAGTCCATTGAACCAACTGAGCTAGAACTAAAATCTAAATTTTGACCACTCGCATCCATTGAACCAAAAGGAATCTGTGCTGTCAACACATGTTCGTCAGAGACCGAATCACGACTAAATGAAGGCCTAGAACCTCGATTTGGAGCCTCGATATTTTCCAATGTTATATTAGCCGGAGAAGTTTTTGGCCTCTCACGAGTCAACGCTTTTGCCGGCTTTGCACCATTCCTTTCATTGAGCATTCTCTCTGTAGCTGCAGTCTTCCAACCTTCCCTTGCTGGTTGCCCTCTATTTTTACCAAATAATAATGCGAAGAGATATAACAACTATATAATTCTATCAAAACAGAAGCTAACATGAGTATTAATAGGAAGTTTCTCAGAACACTATATTACTTGGCTCCATTTTCTTGTTCATTGTTGCTGTCTGGTTGATTATTTGGCTGCATTCCAAGCGGTGATGGTTGTCTTGGTGGCATGGCAGTATTCGCCACTGGCCGAAGAGCAGCCCTGGCAGATATTATCTTCCCCTTTGATATTACATATACAGAACAAAAGTCCGGGGCAGTTTTTATTATGCTGGTCGGAATATCAGGACCTTTAAATTTCCTGAGACACCCCAATCATTAGAAACCTAAGTTACTCAATACATGTGTGTGTGTGAGAGAGAGAGCAAACAAAAAGAGAGACCTCGCTAGAGCGCTCCTTGTTGAAGCTCCAACTACAAAATTGTTGATGCAATTCTTGTGAACGTAGTCGACGAGTGCTTTGGGAGTATCGGTATCGTCAAGAACAACCTCCTTCAGCTGAACCTGAATTCCATAAGCAAATTTCCTGATGTAAATTTTAATTTCTCAACATTACTCAATCACTTAGCAAGCCTTTTTCTAACATAAACCACCTAAACAATCCAAGACCAGCAACTTATAATTCTTTTTTCATAAGACCAGCAACCCATAACTCTCATCCTTCACGAACAAAACAATACCAAAGTTCATACTGCCCTTTGTGGCAATCACAAGAATTTAAGGCCATGATTCAATCATTTCCAATACAAATCCTAAAAGCACTTCTAACAACTTCCATACAACAGCAAACCCAACAAGTTTCAATCAGACATATCCACAAACACCTAGAGTGCATAAAACAAACGTCAACAAGCACTTCCAACAACTTCCATACAATAGCAAACCCAACAAGTTTCAATCAGACATATCCACAAACACCTAGAGTGCATAAAACAAACGTCAAGAATTTGCAACATATAATTAAAAAGATGTACCCCTTTACGCGCACAATATCCACGATAGGGAACAAACAGCTGCTGCGCATCAATTTCGCCATTTTCAGAATCGCTTGCGCCCTCTAAGAAAAGGGAAAAAACCAACAAAAACAAAAACAATCAGAAATTAGACCAACGAGGAAACAATGCATATGAGAATGATAGACCAAATAAAAAACAAGGATAGAGGGTACCTACGATGTTGATTGGTTTTATGCCTAACATGGATGAGAATTATAAGCGGGTTGCTTATGACGAGATGATCAATAGCCCACTGTACGGCGTGTTGGCTATTCTTATCCTTGTCAATGGCGACGGCCGTGGTGTTCAAGGGAAACCCATCATCAGGTTGATGCGTGGAGGGAGGCATTTTGCAAAGCCGCTCAGGATCTTGGTGCCGCAGCCGCTTGAATGTAACCCAATATTTTGGTTTGTAAAGAGAGCGGTGGGGTGGGGGAAGGAGGAGCAGCACGAAGGTAGTAAGCTAAGGAGAAGATAACAAACATAACAGACAAATGAAGAAAGGCGATTCTCCGCCATTGGCTTGATTTAGGCAAATTTGACCTGGCCATGACCAGATTTCGGAAAGCCATGGCCGTGTGGGTTACGATCATACCCCAAATTTTGTTGGCGACAGGACCGCCTGCGGTGTGGATTCAGGATTTTATCACAAATTTTCCCTCTTCTCTCTTCTGGCCTTCAAAATATTTCTCATCAATCCTTATAATAAGGTTTGAAATGGTTTAAATATATAGTTTTCGTTATGTACCATTTCAACCAAGTTCCTAATTTTATTTTTCTTATCTTATTTGTTTAAAGATTTTTACAAGAAAATAATTGCGAGGGCTCAAATTGAAATGAGATTTGTGGTGTGTTGCTACAAAATTCAAATATTTGTATTGGTTTTATCATGCGTCATAGAAAGGATTGAGTTTCCTCTTGAACTCATAAAAAGAGCGATATAACGGTTGAGCTCTGATCCGTGGAGAGAGTCAATAAAGTTCTTTATTCAAATTTACAAGAGGCATATGTGAGTGGAGTATCATAACCACAGTGTCATATTTCCTAATTCTTACTGTTTAATTTCAAAATTATTACAGTGATTTAGTGCATATTTATTGTTTTCACTTGATCTAATTTGGTTGTATTAATTATTATTAGTATCATAATTAGAAAAATTAAGCACGTTTAAATACTTTTATTGTTAAAACCCTATTCACCCCTGACATACCGATCCAACAATATTAACGTCACAAGTGTCGAGGAGTCATACAATGAAATTGTGAGATAAAGAATAATCTTGTAAGAAGGAAGGGAAGACAATGGAATTGTGAACCGAGATTACGAGGCAAACGAGAGAAGTAAAACCAAGAGGGAAAGGAACGAATAAAGCAGTGAGATAAATCATATTCTCGTTACAAAACTTGTGTCACGCTATATCGCTTAACTGAACAAGATATTCCTTTAAAACCTAAACTTTTGACCAAGTCACATCATAGTCCCATTGTGATCTCTGACCGTCCGTCCCACCTAAAGATCTAAGCGAGTCTTGCCCATTTAAGGAATATGGTTGGTCTCGAATACTAGCGATCGACAATCTTTTCTTTCCTCTCTCTTATAACCTCGGTAAGCTACTTATCTTATTAGGTGTAAAGTAAAACTTATATGAAGGGATTTGTTACCTAGGGTAAAATTAAATTAAAAACACAAAATAAATAATTAATTAATTAATTTTTACTTTTTCAAAATTTATATTCAATTTTCTCATTAAAAAAATTATTAAGAAGACTTTCATTTTCTAATCATTGATATTTATGTCACATCACATGAAATAATATATAGTTTATTATTAAATTAATTGATTGAGTTGACTAATGAACAAATCATAATCTTTTGTAAAAGCAAACAAGATTACCCATTTCTAATTTTATATTTAATGGATATTTATTTTATTTATTGTGATCTTATCTTTAATTTTTTTATTATTATAAAAATACATAAATGTGACGGAAGCTAACAAATAAAATAAGGTTTTACGTTTATATTAAAATAAAAAATTTACATATATAACTCCGAACACTCGTATTTACCAGAAATTTTTAAATTAAAAATTTAAATTCGGTTGACCATAAAAATAGTTCGAAAATTATTTTAAATCTAGTTATTTATTTTTAAAAATAAAAAATATATATTTTTCAGGATCAATTTAAATATCAAACTTTTATTAGCCACAAGTCATCATTAATATCGGTTACAAATGTTAAATATTCTTGAATTTTGTAACCTTATTTTCAAGTCAACCACGAACTCTATTTACTTTTAGTTTCCTCAAAATACCTCGTAATAATCGAGATATTATTCCTTACTAAACTCATGATTTTTCTATTAATTAATTAATTACTGTTTTGATTTATATAATTATTAATTTTGATATTTAAGAGTATAAATTGATTTTACTCGGAGTTTCTAATAGATGTGTTTGAAAAATTAGAAAAACAAAAAATAGACTGTTTTTGTAATTTTGAAAATATTTATTAAAAGTGAGGAGTGAGACAAGTAATATACCTGTCGAGTTTAATGTCTTTTTTATATGGAAGACAAGTAATCTCTCAAGATTTTCATATGACTCGATAGCCCAAACTATTCAACCAAACCAAGGTCGGATTGGGTTAGTTTTTTTTCTTCTTTTAAGTCGAGATTAGGTTTATTGGATTATGAAAGTCTCACGTCGCTAATTGGAATGATCATGCATTTATAATGAAAGAATACTCTCTTCATTGATACGAGACATTTTGGGAAGTCCAAAACAAAGCCACGACAGCTTATGCTCAAAGTGGACCATATCATACCACTATGGACATTTCTATTTGTCTAACATGGTTGAATTTGTTGAAAATAAAAAAAAATTAGATCAATTTGCGAGTTGATATTTTTTTTGGTCAGGTCAACCCAACAATACTAAAATCTAACCCAACCTTATCCTACTTTCAAATTATTATGAAAATTAAGAATTTTTCAAAGTTTGTAATTGATGCTAGCCATCCAAAAAGGATTAGGTTGAGAACTCTTAGCTTATGGGTCACCGATATAACCAATTGAAGCCTCGGATTAATTTAAAAGATTTTCTCAATCCAAATCGTGTGTTCCCTGTAACATATATATATATCTATATTTATGATTTGTTTATGGGCGGGAATAAATTTTGAGCAATAAATATAGGTAGACTTGTTCATCCATTGGTAGCCAGTGATTGGAAGAGGAACAGCATTGTAATTAACAAAAGAGCCTTTTTGATTTGATTGGAGCGTTAGAACAGAAGGATTTGAGAACAACATCATCATTATCATGGATTGGTAGGTTTTCATCCACTCGACACGTGTTCTATTCGTTCATCTTGAAAAAAGTTAGTATTTCTTTCAATTTTTTTCAATTTTTTTTCCTCGTATTTGTGTACTTCTCTGCAGCCTTTCCAATTTTTTTTTTAATCTTTTTCTTTTCTGGGTCTTCTAATTTCCTCTTTGTTTAAGTGGTAAGCAACCCTTCATTTCTCGTTTCTTCATTTTGATTCCCTTCTTCTCTCTCTGCTCTCTCTCTACCCCCCTTTTTAATCTCTCTGGATTTGCGATGTTGAAGAGGAGAAAAAGAAGGCATTAGCCGGATTGAAGTAGCGAGACAGCGACAGGTTAGATAATGAACTCTTTCTTCAACCTTGTTCTTCGTTTAATCTTTTTTGTTTGAATTTCATACTAGAGGTCACGATGGATTGCCTCTGATTTGGGGAAACTCTGCCAATTTTGTTAAAAGGGTTTCTATCTTTTCTAGGGTTTTCCTCTGATTCTTGAGATTTCGTCTTTCTGGGCTGTTTCTCGTGATTTTTTTACCCTTTTTCTATGTCTTTCTTGTGCTTACAGATAAAGTTTCTTCTGATTGATACCTGTTTGGGGTTGAACGGATAGGAGTTTCCAGAGAGGGAAATCGATGAACCCCTCTAACTTCAAATTTGTGTTCTGATTCAGTGTAGTTGACCAGATCTGAATGTTCGTTTCTTTTTGGTATTATCATGTTTCTTATGGATGGAAAATGGTTTGTTCAACCCCAAGTTTTACATTCTAAGATCAGTCTTAATGACAGAAAAAGGCGGTGGGTTAGTTGAAATATGACAATTGTAGAGGGGTTAGGGGGTGTTTTTTCTCATTGTTTAGGTAGAGAGCTTGATGGAGGAAATGTTCCGAGCGGTTGTCGTGCCATTTAGTGTAGGTAATTCCGACATGGCAACTCCCATGGATATCACTAGACTCACTGCTGGTTTGTTATCTGATTCTGTGGCTAAGGCTTCTGACCACTTGACTGAAGTAGGTTCTGATGATTGTAAGAGTTCTAATGGGGAGGAAGAGGTTTCGGTTATGAACGATGACAAGTGCGAAGGAGTTTCGTTGTCGGTCGTGTTGTCTCAAAATAATAGCAATTGGGTTGCAGCTGATGAGACGATATCCCATGTAAGTGAGGAAGATGATTCTTTCTCTTTAGAGGGTATATATGATAGCTCGTGTTCGCATTCGGTAGTTAGTGAGACTAGCAGCATTTGTGGTGATGATTTTTTAGGTTCTGAGGTGTCGTATTTCGAAGCATTTGGTTCCAAGGATGTTAGCAGTGTCGAGATTGCAGCTACAGCCAATGTTGAAAGTCTCGAGACTCCGATTGCGAGTTCTTCTTCTGCAGGAGTTAGCCTTGAAGAAGATATTGGAGATGGGTTAGGCATTGATGCATGTAACATGGTTCTCCAGCTTCCTCTTGAGAAAAGAGCAAACGAACCGGTTGGTCGAAGTGTTTTTGAGGTCGATTGTGTTCCTCTTTGGGGATTTACGTCCGTTTGTGGAAGAAGACCTGAAATGGAAGATGCAGCCACAGCTGTACCGAGGTTTTCAGAACTTCCTGTCCAAATGCTTATTGGCGACCGAGTTCTTGATGGCTCGAACAAGGCTATAGCTCACCAAACTGTTCATTTTTTTGGAGTCTATGATGGTCATGGTGGCTCTCAGGTTTGCATACAATTTGAATGTGCTTCTTGTTTAATGAGCCACACTCTGTTCGTTTAACTCGAATCTCTTAATATATAGGTCGCGAATTTTTGTCACGAACGTATGCATTTGGCTTTGTCTGAGGAGATAGAACTTGCTAAGCAAGACATAGCTGCTGGCAATATGAAGGATAGTTGCCAAGAGCTATGGAGAAAGGCATTCACCAAATGTTTTCTAAAAGTTGATGCTGAAATTGGAGGGAAACCTGGCGCTGAGCCTGTTGCACCCGAAACTGTAGGATCCACTGCTGTTGTTGCAATCATCTGTGCCTCTCACATTATTGTTGCAAACTGTGGCGACTCGAGAGCAGTTCTTTGTCGTGGGAAGGAGCCTATAGCGTTGTCCGTGGATCACAAAGTACGTTTGCATTTGCGGTTTCGTTAGTGAACTTGTCATATCTTCATTGATTTTAATCTCTTTGTTGCCTCTCAGCCAAACAGAGAAGATGAATATGAAAGGATTGAAGCTGCTGGAGGAAAGGTCATACAGTGGAACGGGTACCGTGTTTTTGGTGTTCTTGCAATGTCGAGATCCATCGGTACGTCTTATCCTACACGAAACTTCAAGTGTCTATGCTTGTCATTTCAAAGATATGATATCTATGACAATCTTTTGCTGCTTCGCCAAAG